GAAATAAATGAAAACAAATGCGAGATACAGAGATGAAACACAACTGCAGAAATGAGAGGAAACAAACACAAAACAAGAAAAACAAACACATATAATGACAACAACAAACATAAACAACAACAAAAACAAACATAAATAACAACAGTAACAAACACAAATGTTAAAAAACTAACATAGAATGACAGAGGGCATTGGGCCTGAGTCCGAGAAGAGGCCCGTGCACTACCCGTTCCCAGTTGGGGACTAGCTATCTGATTGGCCCCTTGTCCTGGGACTCCTCCTCCTGCTCCTTTATAAGCAGACAGCAACTCTCTACTCCTAGTTCTCTCCTGCTCCAATCTGTGGTACACGTGTCTCCTGAGAAAGACCAAACTGCCCACTGACTGCAGATTATCTTCAATTGTGTTGATAATCTGAAGAAGACTGGAATACTGGTTGAACGTCGTTTCTCGGCACACGTTTTCTTTTAACTTTTTGCCACTCTTTTACTTTATACCTTTCTTCATTCATTTATTTGATTATATTTTACTTCATCACTTTAAAAAAAAAAAAACATCACACACTTTCCATCATGTCAGGATGGATTCTGGTCCGTCGCGGGCACCGTTCCCATGGTCCTTGTGGTCGGACACCGACACCTCTGCCGCAGAGCAGCGGAGGTCAGCGCTCCTGCAGCCGTGCGAGATCCGGTTGTAACCAGGGTAAAATTCAATCCCCTTATCCAGATCCAACCCAGGTTTTCCCCTCTCCACATGATTTGTCACCACCCTTGTCACCACCTATCACACCGCCCATTTCACCAATTATCCAATCACACATCCCCAGTTAGAGTGTATAAGGTCCCTGATTTCTTTCTCGTCAGTTGTGTGGGAGAGAAGCCAGGGGACAGAGCTTGAAGGTCAGTACATCTACACTTTTTAATTTCAAATTCTCATGTTTCCCATTTTTAACTTCACCATTCACACCTTTTAGAACCAGACCTGTTGTGTGACGTTGTCGCGTGTGCTTTCAATACACTAAAACTAGTGATGGGCAGATGAAGCTTCATGAAGCATTGAAGCCTTTCATCAAATTGGTTCACTCTGGTGCAAAGCTTCCTGAAGCTTCATTTGCTCTAGTAGGACACAAACCTACTGGACGCAAAGAAATATCAGTTGACATGAATTTGAAGTGTGTTGCATTTTGCAGAAAGCCTGTGAATAAAACAAATAAGAATAAAAATAAATAAGTATGCAAAACATGTATATTGTAGTGATGTGTACTGTGTATGTATAAATATAAATAAAACATGATAAATAAATATATATATATATATATATATATATATATATATATATATATATATATATATATATATATATATATATATATATATTATATACTGGCAGTATTATTATTAAATTATGAAAATGCTAATGATGATTTCCAGTGAGGTGAGGGTGGTTGGGCTTGGAGTTTGGACAGTGATTGTGCTTTTGTAATGTTGGGTGATTATGGTTCAGGGGACACATCATTGTTTTTTATTTAAAAACAGTTTCTCCATTTCTGTAGAAATATTACTGTACATACCTTGTTGGGAGAAATGAGATCAAAATGTTTCCACACAGGGAACATCCTCCTCTTCTTAGCTCCATTCTCTCCTGAGTCTCTCTCCTCACTCTCCTAAATCTCCAAACTCTCTCCAAAATATCTCTATTTTTTTCCAAACTATATCTCTAACTCTATCTCTAACTCTAACTCTATCTCTAACTCTAACTCTATCTCTAACTCTATCTCTAACTCTAACTCTATCTCTCTCTAACTCTATCTCTAATCTCTCTATCTCTAATCTCTATCTCTAACTCTATCTCTAACTCTATCTCTATCTATCTCTAATCTCTAACTCTCTATCTCTAACTCTAACTCTATCTCTAATCTCTAACTCTAACTCTATCTCTAACTCTACTCTATCTCTATCTCTAACTCTATCTCTAACTCTAACTCTATCTCTAACTCTATCTCTAACTCTATCTCTAACTCTCTCTAACTCTATCTCTAACTCTATCTCTAACTCTAACTCTATCTCTATCTCTAACTCTATCTCTAACTCTATCTCTAACTCTATCTCTAACTCTATCTCTAACTCTATCTCTAACTCTATCTCTAACTCTATCTCTAACTCTATCTCTAACTCTATCTCTCTAACTCTACTCTATCTCTAACTCTATCTCTAACTCTATAACTCTAACTCTATCTCTAATCTCTAATCTCTAACTCTAACTCTATCTCTAACTCTATCTCTAACTCTCTCTAACTCTATCTCTAACTCTATCTCTAACTCATCTCTAATCTCTAACTCTATCTCTAACTCTAACTCTATCTCTATCTCTAACTCTCTCATCTCTAATCTCTCGTCTCTAACTCTATCTCTAACTCTGTCTCTAATCTCTAATCTCTAACTCTATCTCTAACTCTACTCTATCTCTAACTCTATCTCTAATCTCTATCTCTAAACTCTATCTCTAACTCTCTATCTCTAACTCTATCTCTAAACTCTATCTCTAATCTCTAACTCTATCTCTAACTCTATCTCTAATCTCTAACTCTATCTCTAACTCTACTCTCTCTATCTCTAACTCTAACTCTATCTCTAATCTCTACTCTCTCTAACTCTATCTCTAACTCTATCTCTAATCTCTAACTCTAACTCTCTAATCTCTAAATCTCTAACTCTATCTCTAACTCTATCTCTAACTCTCTAACTCTCTAACTCATCTCTAACTCTATCTCTAACTCTAACTCTATCTCTAACTCTATCTCTAACTCTCTCTCTAATCTCTAACTCTATCTCTATCTCTAACTCTAATCTCTAACTCTAATCTCTCTAAACTCTCTATCTCTAACTCTATCTCTACTCTCTCTATCTCTAACTCTATCTCTCTCTATCTCTAACTCTATCTCTAACTCTATCTCTAACTCTATCTCTAACTCTATCTCTAACTCTAACTCTAATAACTCTATCTCTATCTCTCTCTATCTCTAACTCTATCTCTAACTCTATCTCTAATCTCTACTCTATCTCTAACTCTAACTCTAATCTCTAACTCTAACTCTATCTCTACTCTATCTCTATCTCTAACTCTATCTCTAACTCTAATCTCTAATCTCTAACTCTATCTCTAACTCTATCTCTAACTCTATCTAACTCTATCTCTAACTCTATCTCTCTCTAACTCTACTCTAACTCTAACTCTATCTCTATCTCTAAACTCTATCTCTAACTCTAACTCTAATCTCTAACTCTATCTCTAACTCTATCTCTAACTCTAATCTCTAACTCTAATCTCTAATCTCTCTATCTCTATCTCTAACTCTATCTCTAACTCTATCTCTAATCTCTAACTCTATCTCTACTCTATCTCTAACTCTAACTCTATCTCTAATACTCTCTCTATCTCTCTAACTCTAATCTCTCTATCTCTAACTCTAACTCTAACTCTATCTCTAACTCTAACTCTATCTCTAACTCTATCTCTAACTCCGTCTCTAACTCCGTCTCTAACTCTATCTCTAACTCTATCTCTAACTCTATCTCTAACTCTAACTCTATCTCTAACTCTATCTCTAACTCTATCTCTAACTCTGTCTCTAACTCTAATCTCTAACTCTACTCTAACTCTAACTCTATCTCTAACTCTATCTCTAACTCTATCTCTATCTCTATCTCTATCACTCTATCTCTAACTCCATCTCTAACTCTATCTCTAACTCTAACTCTATCTCTAACTCTATCTCTATCTCTAACTCTAACTCTAACTCTATCTCTAACTCTACTCTATCTCTAACTCTGTCTCTAATCTCTAACTCTCTAACTCTAACTCTAACTCTAACTCTCTATCTCTACTCTACTCTAACTCTATCTCTAACTCTAATCTCTAACTCTACTCTAATCTCTAATCTCTATCTCTATCTCTAACTCTATCTCTAACTCTATCTCTAACTCTAACTCTATCTCTAACTCTATCTCTAACTCTATCTCTAACTCTATCTCTAACTCCGTCTCTAACTCTATCTCTAACTCTGTCTCTAACTCTATCTCTAACTCTAACTCTAACTCTATCTCTAACTCTATCTCTATCTCTAACTCTCTCTATCTCTAATCTCTCTCTATCTCTAAATCTCTAACTCTATCTCTAATCTCTATCTCTAACTCTATCTCTAACTCTACTAACTCTAACTCTATCTCTAACTCTACTCTCTAACTCTACTCTCTACTCTATCTCTAACTCTCTCTAACTCTATCTCTAACTCTCTCTAACTCTCTCTAACTCTATCTCTAATCTCTAATCTCTCTAACTCTATCTCTAACTCTCTAATCTCTAACTCTATCTCTAACTCCATCTCTAACTCTACTCTATCTCTCTCTACTCTAACTCTATCTCTAACTCTATCTCTAACTCTATCTCTAACTCTATCTCTAATCTCTAACTCTATCTCTAACTCTATCTCTAACTCTCTCTCTATCTCTAACTCTACTCTAATCTCTAACTCTCTCTCTCTAACTCTATCTCTAACTCTATCTCTAACTCTACTCTCTCTCTCTAACTCTATCTCTAATCTCTCATCTCTAACTCTATCTCTAACTCTAACTCTATCTCTAACTCTAACTCTATCTCTAACTCTATCTCTAACTCTAACTCTATCTAACTCTATCTCTAAACTCTACTCTAATCTCTAATCTCTAACTCTATCTCTAACTCTATCTCTAACTCTATCTCTATCTCTAACTCTATCTCTAACTCTATCTCTAATCTCTAATCTCTAACTCTATCTCTAACTCTATCTCTAACTCTAACTCTCTCTAACTCTCTATCTCTAACTCATCTCTAAACTCTAACTCTATCTCTAACTCTATCTCTAACTCTATCTCTAACTCTAATCTCTAATCTCTATCTCTAATCTCTAATCTCTAACTCTATCTCTAACTCTATCTCTCTAATCTCTAATCTCTAACTCTATCTCTACTCTATCTCTAACTCTAATCTCTAACTCTAACTCTAACTCTATCTCTAACTCTATCTCTATCTCTAACTCTCTCTATCTCTAACTCTATCTCTAACTCCATCTCTAACTCCATCTCTAACTCTATCTCTAACTCTAACTCTAATCTCTATCTCTATCTCTAACTCTATCTCTACTCTATCTCTAACTCTATCTCTAACTCTATCTCTAACTCCATCTCTAACTCCATCTCTAACTCTATCTCTAACTCTAACTCTAACTCTATCTCTATCTCTAACTCTATCTCTAACTCTAACTCTAACTCTAACTCTATCTCTAACTCTAACTCTAACCAAACTGTCTCCAAACTTCCAAACTCTGATCTCAAATCTCCTTCAAACACTCACATTTTGAATGAAGCCTGAGGTTTATTTCGCTGTCAAAACTCGCGGCAAAACCCGAACCACTTCCTGAATCAGTCACATGGTGCAGCCGGGCAGCGAGGCTTCGGACGTCATCATTTTCAGCTCCTCCCCTAAATGAATCAAGCCTCGATACGCGCATCGCGGAAACGCCCCCCCCCCACTCCACACACGCCTCGAAGCCTCGATACGGAACGTCACATCACTACTAAAACTACTGAACTGGTAAGTTAGAACTGAACCGTATTTATTGATTTATTTAATGACTTTTGTTCTTGTGGCTTTGTATGCTAGTGCTAATGCTAGAGCTAGCAGGCTAATGCTAATGCTAAGGTTAGCCATTTTGTCAGGGCCTATGTCTTGCTCCATGTAGCATATGTCAATGTTAGCTTAGCATTAGCATGCTAACAGCTAGCATGCTAATGCTAACATGTGCTCCACATGATCGGTTGTATCTTGTGACAGATTGTGACTTATGAACTCTTGTAATGTTAATGTCAATGCTAACGCTAACTGTAAACATGTTCCAGGAGGCCTTTCTTAATGTGCACACAGGCCAGGTGCCCAAACTTGGGTTCAAATTGATGGTGAGTGAGGAACTGTCCTTTTGAGAGCTTCGGTCTGGTAGGAGACAAACCGCCTGTCGTCTGTCTCCACCTACTCCAGCTGCCTCCACTACATAACTGTTCAATCAACTGCGCTTTGTGGACATCATACAACCTCAAAATAATTCATACTGGACTTTAAAGTAGTTTGGACTCTGTTTACACCCTGGGCAACCAGACCCAGTTCGAAAGGACATATAATTGAGTTGTTTGATTTTTGTTGCTGCAGCTGTTGTATATTTTGTTGTCTCACTTTCTCCCTGTATAATACACTTTATTCATTTTTCAACTAATCCCATGTCTCAATTTACTGCCCCTGCCTCCAGTAGCCTTACTTAGGATCTTCTGATCATTCAACCTTGTTAATTACAAATGGTAGACATAACAGTTGTAACATGGTCACTACACGGTTGTTACAATAACATCTAATTACACATTTACTACACTTTTATTATCTAGTAATAGGCAATCACTTGTTACACAGAGTCTTGTCTGTCTCCTACGAGGGGCAGACATTTAACACAGATTTTAACCCATAAGTAAGTCTTTATTTATACAGTGCTTTTTCACAGACATTTTTTTGTCACAAAGATATTTTACAGAACAT